TCAGACTTCCTAAACTCCTATTCCAGTTTTGTCACTTTCAACTTAAGTGCCTCTGTCTACTTAGTTCTGGCCCAGGTTTTCTCATGTAGTTGCTGTTAAAGAGTTATTGGCACACACCTACTATAATGCCCAGCTACTCAGGAACTGAGTCCAGGAATTCAGGCCAGCTTGGGGAACTAGCCAGATACTTTCTAAATAAATAAATAAATAGTGTCTGGGATTGAAAAAAAAGGGGTAACTGGCTAAAGTAGCTGGAGTTGTCCAGTCACCACATATCCCGCCCCATCTCACTCTTTCACTCTCCCTCAGTGCAGGTGTGTTTCGCTCTTTGGTTTCTGTCTCTTTTCATATACTCTAAGGATTCTCCATGTATAGTCTTTCATTATGTGCTAGTGCAGTTTTCTCCTAGCATGCCAACCTCAGGACAAACTCTTTACATGGCACCTGCAGGCTTCCAGAGCAAAATAATCCAGGGAATGGGGTAGAAAGTACTTGTTCCTTTAGATGACCTAGCCTTGGAAGTCACATATTGTCCCTTTTCCCATACTAACTTCATCTAAATTGTCACAAAAGCCTGTCTCAGTGAAAGGAGTATCAGAGTCCCACTGAGAGAAGAGCTTGAGTCATGGAGAATCTGTTGCAGCCATTTGGAATACACAGTCTTGAAACAGAAATGTGAAGAGATCTATTTAACTGCTTGCTCCCATCACTTTTATATCACTAACTTATCTGAAGTATGTGGTGGGTGGCACACTTGACATAGACAGATTACTGACACTAAAATACAATGTGCATGAGTAAACAAGTCTAAAAGGACTTACTCCAGAAAAGTATTGTAAAGAATATCAACATACCTTATATATAAACAGAGATATGAAAAATTGTGGTATATATGTGTATTAAGAATTGTAATGCAAAAAAAAGAGTACATGTATAATGGCATAATTTGGCATGAACATATATACAGAGTTATGAAAAATTGTGCTATATATGTGTAATGAGGAGTGTAATGCATTCCACTATTGTCATATATTTAAAAAATAAATAAATAAATAGAATGTGTGTCAGCTGGGCGAGGTGGTGTATGTCTATAATCCCAGCATCTAGGGATACTGAGACAGGAAGATCACAAGTTCAAAAACAGCCTCAGCAATTTATCAAGGCCCTAAGCAACTAAGTGAGACCCTGTCTCTACATAAAAAATTAAAAGGGCTGGGGGTATAGCTCAGCGATAAAGCACCCCTAGGTTCAATCCCTGGTACAAAAAAAAAAAGGAGAGAGAGCATGTATAATTCAGTTTAGATCAGGCTTAAAACCTTATTACATCTTTAATGTGTCAGCTGTTAGAATTGATGGCAATTCTTACTATAAAGAGATTTCAAAGTACCTTTCGTTTTCAATGTGACTTAATAATTTCCTTTAATAATTTGAAATCAGCACATTCCTAGAAAAATATGTTAGTGTTCCACCAAAAGATTGAATTATGCATAATACACCATTCTGCAATGTATCTTAACTAGGAGATTACTAAAGCAGACTAGTTGCACAGAATGCTTGTGAGAAACAGTGAAAGAATTACATATTTGAAACAAAAGACATTTGAACCTGTTGGAACTATGTAGTTGGGGCATGGTGGCTCATTCCTGTAATCCCAGCTGCTCAGCAGGCTGAGGCAAGAGGACCATGAGTTCAAAGCCAGCCTCAGTAACTTAGCAAGGCCCTAAGCAACTTAGCAAAACCCCATCTCTAAATAAAATTCAT